ATAGATGGATAAATATGCACTTTATTGTTCACACGCAAGAACAATGACGGTACACAGACAATTTTGAACGAATTTGGGCAAAAACGACCTTGTCGCTAAGGGCGTTCTCTTCCAGATTACTCTTGAAGTAGAAGAAAACTGAAAGGGAGACATCGTGTGCAAATAGTAAAAGCTTAAATTTCTTTACTGTGGACGCGATGCCAACTATAAATAGTGTTCTGACATTAAATACGATACGATTCTTTAAAACACTCATAAACTTAATTTAGTATTCTAACTGCCTCTGTGGCCGATCGGTTAGCATGCTGGTTCGATTCCCGGGCCGGGAGAAATATTTATTTGGCCTACGTTTATTTCTCTCGTGAGTTTGGGTGTAATTTGTGATTCTCTATGTCGCCCTACCCACCGAATAATATGGTAATATGCTGCTGCGGTAGTTTCAATTTTATTTCATATCCGGTGTTAAGAGCGTTAATTCGACCTTGTAATTTTTTTTTGTAATATTTCTATGAATATTTATAAAAGTACATTAATTTCATTGGCCCCGTAATGATCATAATAATATTATTCCCCTAATATATAAACACCCTTTTTACACGAATAGTACCATATCAAGTTAGTACAGATTATGCAATTTGCCAAACCACCGCAACCATTTTGTTCGCGTAAGAAACACGTTAAAACGTTTATTTTTATATACAATGTATTTGCATAATTACATTACTATTTATTTTTTGATACCATACATCAACGAATATTACTGTAATGTACTGTTTCTGTATACACTATCGCTTGGATTTCATCCGAATAAAATCGTAATATAATATTACCGTTACCTTTTTTGACACCATATTTCAATGAATAATACGGTAATGGATTAATACTGACTACGAAATCGTTGGGTTTACACTATGATATGGTAATGATGCGTTGCATACTATACTTTAGGCTTGCAATTTCAGTAATATTATTTTCATCAATAACTTTATTTAGTGAAACTGATACAAAAATATCATAAAAGAAAATAGACTGTAAAAAAATTAGTTTTGTTTCGACATAGAAATAACAATCCGAAATATACACTAAAAACTAGTTTTATATTTTTCCTGTTAAATTTATAATTATCGGTTACCATATTATTCGCTGGGGAGTGTGATGTGTGTCTACTTTTCAGTCAAATAGTTACTTTAAGCCAAACATTTACTTGAAATATAACAATTAGATGGTGATAGTGGTGGTGATGGTGATCATGATGATGATGTTGATGGTGGTGATAATGATATATTGATGTACAACAAAGTTTATATGACATTAACAAAATACTTCTTTAGAGTTATTTATTAATTACATAAAGATAGATAGATGGTTTTACACGGATGAGAAGGATTTTGATACAAGAAGTTATATTAAAATATTTGTTACATGTTAAATGTTCTTTTTTGAACGATAAAATGTGTGTTGTAATAATATTTTCTCATTACTGTGCCGTCTTTCTCATTTACGTTTATGAGAAAATCATTCGTGTTACTGCAATCTCATTCGTGTGACCTAACATATAACTTTTTGTTGTATTTAACTTAAATAATTCTGTGATTTTGTAATTATTGACATTGCTTGAACTTATTTGTACGTTTAAGACCTTAAAACCAAAAGAAAAAAGGGTTTTACAAAAATGACTCAAAACGTGCCATTGAAATTCGGAAAGTGAAATTCACCCATCCATGGCACCCGCGACACAGAATTTCCCTATGAGTGTGTGTGTTATTATTAAAAAAAAGTATATTTTATAATTTATGTCCATTACGCAGTTAGTCATAGAAGGCAATACCTAAAGTTTTATAAGTAAGCAGATAATAAATCAGCATAAATTATATGTGCCTAAAACATTTATAAATAATTACTGATAATTCTAAATAAGCACTGTAACCTACTTTACTTAAGATTATTTTAAAGTTATCAGTTTAATTTTTACCTATAGAACCGATCACGTAGCGCAGCAGTTGACCGAACTGATTTTTGATAATAACAGCCAACATCACGATCAAACGATTTTGTTCTTTATTATTCTAAGCACGTTTTTGTAACGTTGGGACTTTGGAAGGCCAGCCCTGAAAAAAAAACTTGGATAAGAATAGCTAATGCATTCAATGTCGATTTTAGAAAGCTGGGATATGTCCATATCTATTTGTACATATATGTATATTATACATAGTGGGAATAAAGCTCCTTGTGTTCCTTGTTAAAGTTCGTCCAGGGAAGTCATCGAGTATATGGTTATATACAAATTAAACAAACAAATTATGGTTATATACAAATTAAATGACATTTCGTTCCATTTCTGGTTAGAAATGGAACGAAATGTCATTTAATTTGTTTGAAAAGTAGTCTGCCAAATCATTACGGTGACAACTGCGCTCCGATTGGCCAGCCCGAATTTGACGACTTCCGTCAATTGTTTCACTTCAAATTGACCAGTTTAACTTTGCTATAATGGATGAAAATGGAAAATTACATGATTAATATTTAATTACCGATGAAATGTGATTCCGTTTGTTTTGTAATTAGATCTTTTGCTGTATTTCCTATAACACCGAATGGAATAGCCCTCCATTGTTAGAGATATTATCTTTATTACAATAAATACAGAATATTTTTGGAATATACGGAGACGTACACACAGGTCAGTTGTTGGCGCTGTACTATTTCAGCTTTCTATTTTGCGATTTCAGCGCAAACGCGAGTTGATATTTAAAAGTGATATAAGGTCCATTTGCCTGATAAGTTGCCAGGGATGGATAACCCTTATTTCGTCTTTATTTCTGGTTATATACTCGATGAGGAAAGTACTGCCACCTAAACTATTTCTGCAGCCAAGCAGTAATGTGAGTATTACTATACTGTGTTTGGTTTTGAAGGGTGTCTGCAACACAGCACTTTTCAAATTATGACTCAGGATGACGGGCGCAGGTAGCAGCATTATTGGCTCTGGATGTAGGTAACAAGAACCAGCAAAAATCATTGGACTTTTTGTATTCGACAATCAGTAAGGATAATATTTATAGGCTATTTGATTATTTGTTTCAATACCGCTAATAAAAAGATAACCAATATTAGCTCGTACTTACAATTATGTAAAGACCGATTCTGTGTCTTGAAAATCAGTTGGTTTACGTCATTGAAATGTACCGTGAACCCACGCTTTTCATTTTCATCATTATATTTGTGCAATATATGCTTATTATGTATTGTAGTCAAAGTCAAAGTCAAAGTTTATATTTGCAAGATTACATAAAAACACATGTTTCTCAAGATCTTATAAAAACGTAATAGTGACAGTATTCAACTTGCATTCAGGTATGCAAATTATTTAAGTTAAAATTAATTTATATATGTCATAAAATAAAATAAAAAATTAATCAATCCTAAATTCTAAATATTCTTTTACAGTATAAAAACAGTCCATTAGCCAAGATGCTAAAGTTTTTTTAAATTCGTGTCCCCTTAAATGTTTTATGTGGTTTGGCAAATGGTTATATATTTTAATTGACATGTTAAACGAATTTCTTTCATATATGATTTTAAAGCAAGGAGGTTGATACAAAAGATTCATTCTTTTAGTTCTCAATCGTCGCTGTAATACTTCAGCGCGTTTTTTAAAGAGGTGTGTCTACAAGCGAGCAGATATCTCTAATGTACATGCAGGCAAAAGGCAGGACATTTAGCTTTTTAAAAAGTGGCTTGCAGGTGTCATCCTTTTTAGCTCCACAGATAGCGCGAACACACTTTTTTTGGACCACAAATGCACAGGTCATTATTATTTGGAAAGAAGAAAGTGAAATGGTTTATTCCTTTAATAAATTACATTATTACGCGCGATTACGCGTAACTAGCATTTAATTATGAGTTTCCATGTTGGTAATCTAGTGGCCAAAAGAAATCCGCGTAAATTAAAAGTAGCAATAGAGCTCCTTACCTATTTCTGCTACCAAGCAGTAATATCAGCATTACTGTGTTCCGGTTTTGAAGGGTAAAAGTGCTAGTGAAATTACAGGCACTTGGGACTTGTCAACTTTTGTTTTAGTGCCCCTCAGATCTTTGACATTTAAGACTCGAGTGGCACTGAAACTATTATGGACAGGCATGTAGCTTACCATCTTGTTCGTCCCGTCACTTGATGTTATAACAAAAAAGAATGTCGTGGCCATTAATTTACAAATAAATGGACGACGGGTCTAATACAAAAACCACAAAAAAAATGTCCCAAGTCAACCTATTTAAACGTAGTGACATGTAAAGGAATATGAAAAGCTAAAACGTTGAATTTAAATTGTAATGTCATCGCAGTACTGTCTAATTTTACTTGCTTCGCTGTCAGTCGAACAAACGAAGACTAAAGCGTGAATGACGCTCTGTATACGATTTTAACGCCCTATAAGTTCGGACACTTTTTAGCGCGGACCCGACGTCCATATAATTGTAAGTCAATGATCGTGGCAAACAAATTAGCGTGATCTAAGGGAATCTATTGTTATCAGTCCGTAGACAACATAAATTTTACCAATACTACACGCGGATTTGCACTATCCCCGAAACAAATTAAGTGTGTGTTATTTCGAAATCCGTCATCAACTCAGCTTATTGTCACTGAAAGTGGTACGGCGTTGATTTCCAGCGGATCCGGTAATTACATAATACATATACGTGTACACCTCTGATTACAGAATCGCACTGAGCTATATCTTGCAAAGCGCTTTTGCTATCAGAAGGGGTTACCATTTTTCCATTCGTAGCCTTTTCGAGAAGCAGTAAAATTTCGTGAATGGTAATTAATTCTAAAGTCATTATAGAGACATTAGAAACCTTATATAAGCGCTTAATCGGTATTATAGGGGTTAAAAGCTATTAACTCACCCTTTTGTCCGGTGGCGCGGTCAAGGTCATGAGCGGTCACCTGCTACGTTATATTTCAAAAAAGAAAACGTATTGTATTTCTTCTACAGGGGTCAGCACACAGTTTCTTTCGATTGTCGACTCTTCAGTGAGCGGTATCCCGAGTATTGCTTTGTGTACGTATCCCAGGCGGTTACCGGCGCAGTCGCTGACGTCAGAATGGACTGCTTGCCCACGCTACCATTGTCAGGTAGGTTTAGTTTTTTATGTACATGCAAGAGATGAGTTTCTTTGGAGACCCAGAAGTTATGGACGCAAAATGACGAGATTCATGGTTCCGAATCCAGTACCAATTTAGAACACGAGCTTTTATAAATTGGGTCTGGCCTGTGTAATGTCCATTTCATTTTAATTGAGCTTGGTTTTGTTGTTTTTGGGGTAATTGTTCAAATTTTGTTTGGTTGCTGTTGTTTTCATGCTTTCTTGTTGACGTGTGGTTGTTGTTGATTTTTTATTTGTTGTTTAGTCTCATAGTAAGAATTCGTTAGTTTGATACATCTCATTTACCATCTCACTTCTGGAACTTAGTCTGCTACCAGACGGACTACATAAATACTAGGCATGCGTGAAGTCGATAAAATACTGACAACCTCGCAAAACTATATTACTAACATCATAAACAATAATTTTTGTTAAATGACTTTTACAACTTTTAAGTTTTTGTTGTACTATGTGACACTTTTTAGATTTGTGTTTAGTAGTAAATTTGTAAGTTCCATTGTGCAAGCGTCCTCCCCGACGACCCCCAACACTCGCTTTTGTATTTTGCATCGTATCGCACGTTGTGTCTGTTTAGAGTGATCGATTTAAATATGCTTATTTTTGTGCCGTTAAAAATATGATGAACAATTAAAAATCACGGAACAAAACGGTTGTTGTTTATGATCTTAGTAACATAGTGCTGTGAGGTTGTTAGTATTTTACAAAACTAATCATGTATAATATACAACTGCATGCAGTCACAGTCACGGTTTCATGCAGTTGGTTACGACTGCACACATTAACTCAGACAAGCAGTCTATCTGTTAGCAGCCTTAGTCGTTTTCTACGTCATCCATGCAAGATTCGGGGTGATTATTATATAGGATATTTCTAGGTTGTTTTTCAATTCATTGTCTCGTCCGCTAAACATCTACCATTTTCCTTTATTTTTTTCCATCCTCTAAACTACCATTATGCCTTTTTGACAATATCATGCCTGTTGCGATTATTTAGGCTTAGGGTATGGAAAAAAAATTTAAAAGGTGATAGGTATATAGGAAATGAAACTGTTTTTCCGGATTTAAATCGCGTATATTTGTTTTTTCAAACAAACCGACGTTTTGGGCCCTTTACAGGTCCCATGGTCACGGTTGACTTGACCACTTGACCATGGGACCTGTTAAGGGCCCGAAACGTCGGTTTGTTTGAAAAAACAAACATACGCGATTTAAATCCGGAAAAACAGTTTTTTTTTTTTTTTTTTTTATACCTGACAGGCAAATGACTCCACTCCACCTGATGTTAAGTGGAAAGTGGTATCCAAACGCGAAGGAACCTAGTGCAGCGATGGAATTTCATTTCCTATGAGTAACAATGGCGAAAATCTAAGAACTCGATGTGATAGGTATAGTTCGAGTGTTTTATTTTTATGGCTATGGATCCGATCTGCAAAGAAATTTGAAGAATCTAGTGAAATGTCAAAAAAATCCATCATTTATGAATTTTTTTTTGTGTTAAGACGGCGGCGCCGGCGGCTGGGGCGAATGGTCCCCGTGGTCAGCGTGTCCTGCGCCGGCGCACTGCTCTACGCGCACACGGAGTCGGCACCGTTTTTGTGATTCGCCCCCACCCGCGTATGGGGCCAAATATTGTGAAGTAAGTACACGCGGATTAAACGCGATCTTATTAATGTTTTCCTCCAATTGTCAGTTACTTTTCGGTATTTCATAAATGTACAATTTACCCCTATAGACTGCACAATCATCAGATTATGAAAATTATAAAATTTTTCTTAGTATGACAATCTCTTTCCTGTTATTTTCTAAAGAGCTTTTAATTTTGATATTTTTCGTTACCATGGTACCCGTTGCCAAGAAACAGTTTTGTCAATAAGGAGTGATTTTTCGTGTTGTTTGTCATTCATAGCGGTTTTGGTTTTTATACAGGACTCAACGCAAAGTAAATACTTATTTTGCTCACATTTTAATTCGATTTATAATAAATGGCTCCTAAAAAAGAAAAGGAAGCAAAGGGAAAGAAGGGAGGCGAAGACGATGTACCAAAAGGCCCGGTGGTAACAGAAGTTGAACAAGCATTTTTGGATCTCCAACTTACTGAATGCAATCGCAAGGTTGCGAGACTCCGCACTACCGTCGATGAGCTCGAGCAACGCAACGAAGAACTGGAAAAAGCATATGAGAAGCTAGATGAAGATCGTGCTGATATTATTGCATACCTGAAGAAAACACTTAACACAAAAAATGAAGAGAATCAAGAATTAAAAGAAAAGGTGAAAGGGCTTGAAGAAACTAGAGAAATCGAAACTGCGCAGTTCAAAGAAACTGTAGCAGAACTTGAAAGGAATTTCACGATAATGAAAGATCAACTGACTTCAGAAAATAAATTATTTGCTGGAAAACTTAATACTTTAGAAGAATTTAGAGCAATAAGAGATGATTTAATGAGAAAGTTCGAAAAGCAAGAGCAAGACTTCCTTGATCAAGAAATGAAATATAAGAGAATTATTTATGAAGCTGAAAAGAAATTTGTTATCGGAAAAGACAAATTAAAAAAAGAAATGGAAGCCAGGCTGTTGCAACTAGCTCAAGATTTCCAAGACGCTACAGAATTGAGAATTGCAGCATCTACACATAGAGTTATTCGTGAAAATATTGCTATCAATAATGAATTAGATAACATACTATCAACTCAGTCCAAACTTTCGGAACAAAATGAGAAATATAAAGAAAGTGAGAAAAATGCTCGCATTGCCAAAGAACTAGCAGAAGAAGAAAGAGATAAAGCGATTAACAAAAATGTGGTTCAATTAAAAGTTATTGATCAATTAACTACTGCTTTCCAAGAAGCCAAGAAGGAGAAAGCTTTGTACAAAAAGAGAAACTTTGATTTAGAATCATTCCAAGCAAAAATACAGAAATTGACAAAGGAAAATGAAAATCTCGCATTACAAGTTCGTATATTAGAACAAAATCTGCACGCGAGAATGAGTGATCAAAACAAAGCTACTATTGAAGCTACTAAAATTGCCAAAGAAGCTTCTAAGCTCAAGAAAATACTTAAAGAGGCGGCTGCTGCAGTGCAAGCCGCTTTGAAGCTAGACGAGTGGGCCACAACAGACCCTACACGAGAAATAATGGATAGGCAAATGTTATTATCACGTTTGCTTGAAATAGTGTCACAATATAGAGAAGTCCAACGCGTAGAGTCCATGGATACTCTTGCTTCATTTGGTAAAATATACGAAGAAGGTGACCTTGGATTTATACCTAAACCTCTTAAGAAAAAGCCTTCAGTTACTGGAGTGACTGTTATTGGCAGTATTCATTCAAAGGAATCTTCAAGAGCATCTGAAAAAGCAAGCGAACTTTCTATTACGACGTCAACTTCAACTCTTGGCAGTATTAAGACCATTCCAAGTCTGCAGCTTATTCCACGTATATCTGGGGAAGAACTTGTCCCCAAAGATAGTCTTCCATCATTTGTTACTTCGCTCACTAGTGAGAGTGAAACATCTGAAATACATGTTGAATCCAAGACATCTGTAGAGCAGGCTTTGGCTGAGAGTAAATTGGAAATGCAAAAGTCCATGATGGCTGATTTGGTAAAATCCAAATCTGTCCTTGGCATGAGTAGATCACAGCATGATAGAATTGATAAACCACGTCAAGAAACGAAGAGTCAGGAAGTCTTAGGGGAAGCGGATGATGATGCGGTTAAAAAGGAAGGCCACGATGAAGAACATGTTCACTTTGGAGAAGAGGAGGAAGTTGAAGGTAAAGCTGAAAAAGAGAAAGAAGAAAAGCCTCTCGAAAGAGAAGGAGATGAAGAAGAAAAAGCGCTTGAAGGAGATCAACCAGGAGAGTAAGATGCTGACTAACTGGTATTTAGAGACATATTTTTGATATAATAGCTAACATGCTGTTTCGACATGTGCTAAAATTTAAATGTATTTGTAGTCTTATTGTAATTTGTAACGTTATTTATTAATTTAATTAAACAATGTCTTGAATTTAAGTGTTTGTTAATTTTTAACTTATTTTGCACAAAAAGTTTTGACTCGAGCTGACTAAAACAATATAGTTAAGTATGAATTTTAGACAATTTTATATAACTTGCATAATTTGTTAAGGGCTATATATATATATATGTGTATGTTTGTTGTCAGGGTCAAGCCGTGGAGCTGGCAGCGTGCGAGTGCACTGCAAGGCCATGGGCCGGAGACTCTTCGCCGGTAGTCGCCGAGGTCGGTGCTCGGTGCCGCTGCGGTTGCGTGCTGCATCTTGCGCCTGTTGCTAGATTAGTTGCCGGCTCGGCTAGGGCCTGCCCTGCTAGGTCTTTTTGGCTTCTGCAGGTGAGACAAAATATTAATGACTTATTTGCCTTAATTTTATACGTAGTAAATAACCAATTACCGCTTACCATTGAGAAAACGTGTAAGCGACGCACTACATTTTATTTAAACAATAAAAATAATACAAACCCTGAATCGCGGGTGCCAAGGACACATATATAGACAACCACAAATTACGCCCAAACTCACGAGACAAATAAATGTAGGCCATCGATGCAGTTCAATATCATATTGAAAATAACTTCTAATGTGTCACAATGCAAGTCAGTCGCTCGCAGTACTACAGGCGTAACGTACACTGCTTCTCAGTCGCCTCCTTTCCAAAACTAAAATCGTGGATCATCGACTCAATCGCCTATACAACGACTGCCTCTTATTTGGGAAGTCCTGGGTTCGATATCATTAGTCTTTTCGGAATGTAAAGTGAACGATAGAAGAAGAAACACACGTGATGTCTAGATCGAGCAATAGAGTACGACCTAAACTTTCTTGGAGATGGTCTGTGCCCCACGGCAACGTATATATTAATCGATGATGAGTTGCTACAAAAGTAAATCGCTGTTCAA